GAAGATTCCAATTCAGCAGGTTTGAGGCACGCTGAGATGCTGTATTTCTTACAAGCTCTCGGGTGATGCCTGTACTGTTGGTCCAAAAAGCCACACTTGATGTAGAGTGGGAGAGTGTATTCTACTAGTAGCAAGAGATCAGCATGCCATGGGCAGTAGTCTGTATGTTTTACCAGGAGATTGGCTGTCTTTGTCCAGTTGGGCTGCTAAAATAAAACATCATAGACCAGGTGGCATATAAACAACAGAAATTTATTTTTCACAGCTCTGGAGCCTAGAAGTCCAAGATCAGCATGCCAACATGGTGAAGTAAGAGCCTTCTTCCAGGTGGCAGACTTCTCATTGTGGTTGTGTCCTCACATGGTAGAAGGGGAGGGGGAGCTCTCTGGGACCTCTTTCATGGAGCCCATTCACAAGGACTTCACTCTCACAACCTAGTCACCTTCCAAAGGCCCCACCTCCTAACACCAACACCTTTGGAATTTTGGAGGAACACAGACAAATGTGGCAAAATTTGGTGAGTTGGGTTGGCAGAGGTTGCTGGATAACTTCCACTGTACTAATACTAGTTCACAAAGCAGTTCCACATATATCATCTTAATAAGTTGACATAATATCATAGATCATTGTTTTGATCTCCCATTTACTGAGGTTATAAGATTCAGAACAATCGAGCAGTTTGCCCAAGGGCATACAGCTAGTTCTAGGCAAAGCTAGGACTTAAACCCAACCAATCTGACTGCAGAGCCTGTCACTCATTCCATCATGATGTGGAGCTCACCTTGAGAACATCTCTAGATCCTGAAGCCAGTCAGCCCAGAGTAGTAGTTAATATGAGCCAAACTGGGTTTTATCTTTACCACTGAATTTGGAATTGTCCATTCAGATGGTTTGCAATTAGGCCTTTGTGGGTTCTTGTGTATACATAAGGCAACTTCTATTTCTTTGGGTTTTGTTCATTTCTTTTGAGACCTCCCTTCTGGATCTCTGACTTCCTGTTCCAACGTGGACTAATGGCTCTCTTGGCCTTCTAAACAGTTGTGATTCTGACATTTTCCTTTACTATTATTTTGGAGACTCCCTTTCTTGGTCAACACATGTAATTTGTCTTTGCTGACAAATGTAATTTGTATCGGATCACCTGTTTCCTCCTTCCCAGGTCTTTCTGGTAGTTTACCTCCTCATTTGGGTGGAGCACAACCTCCAGTAACTTTCAGAGAAAAAGACCATAGGAAACAAATGTCTTGAGACCTTAAATATCTTAAAATGGCCTTACTCTACCCTCATACTTGATTGAGAGCCCGAGAATTGAGTTCTATGTTGGAAACCACTTTCCTCAGAAGTTTGAAGGCATTGCTCTGTTGACTTCTGGCTAATAGGGCTGCTGGAGAGAATTCTGGTGCCATTCTGTTACAGAGTCTTTGTGACCATTTTCTCCCCACCTCTGGGAATAATTTTCTCTAGTACCTACAAGTTCTGCTATGTTAAGATGTGTCTTGGAAGTGAAAGTGTTAGTCGCTCAGTCATGTCCAACTCTTTATGTCCTCATGGATTGTAGCCTGCCAGGCTCCTTTGTCCATGAGATTCTCCAGGCAAGAATACTGGAGTGGGTTGTCATTTCCTTCTCTCCACTGAATCTTCCCAACTCAGGGATCAAACCAAGGTCTCTCGCAATGCAGGCAGATTCTTTACCATCTGAACCACCAAGGAACCTGTGTGTCTTGGTAGGGGTCTTTTTTTATCTGTTGTACTGGATGCCAGTAAACTCCTTCAGTTTAGAAATGCATGTGCTTCACTTCTGAGAAACATTCTTCTATCATTTATTTGATAATTTTCCATTTCTTCTGATCTCTCTAGGTGTCTTGATTTTTGATGTTGGATTTAGGGACTTTTAAAATATGGAGAAATGTTTGCTTTATGAAAAGCAATACATTTAGGCACATCTATTCTTTCCCTGCATATTTTGCTATCGACTTCATCTTAAAAATATCCTTCTAACCCCCAAATTATATAACTAACTTCGTTTTTAAAATTGGCAATAGCAATTTCAGAATAAGGATCATGCTGTTTTTACTCATTTAAGCTCCACTGCAGGCAGCACAAGTGAGTATTTGTTGGATAAATAAAGTAGTGAAATGATTTATTGATTAAAAAAGAAAAATGACCCATGTCGTTTATTTTATCCAGGATCTTATTACCAGCAAAGGTTCTGATTTTTAGATGTTGGAACAAGTATTTTCTGTACAAAAGTTAATAAAATACATGAAAAAATGTTATAGGATAAATAACAGAAGACCTTCCAAAAACTCAATAAATACAATAGAAAAGCATAAAAAAGTTTTCAAATTATTTCCAGACACAAGGATCTGGAACACCCATTGCTGAAACAATAGCAAGAAGAAGAGAAGAAAAATTAAAAAGAAAAACAGCCAAGGCTGCGTGGGGCAGTAAGAGATCGAAGGTTTGTGCAAATGTCAGGCTGGGGACAAAGCCTCCCACACAACAGTGTTTTGGGATCTGCTAGTCTTCAGTCCAATTGACAGGGCCCTGGCCATCCAGGAGTTCATGGACTAGATGTGAAGACAAGACTTGACTGCAGGAAATAATCTGATGGCCATTTATGAGGGTCCCTTTGGAAATCAGCATGGCTCCTGGCCCTTGACAGTTGGAATGTGTTCCTAAATGCACCTCAGTGACTCTCTAGTGAAGGGGAAGTGGCCTGTTCCCACACATCTAGCCGTCTGGCAGACTTACAAACAACTTCCAAAGGTGGAGCCAGGAAGAAGCAGATCCTTTGATGCATAGAAGCTCAAACTGGCAATCCAGGAGGCAGAGGTACTCAGGATCTTGGGTGCTGGGACCGTCAGCAAACCACCTGACCTCTTTGTGCTTCAGCTTCTTCATTTGTAAAATGAAGATATCATAATGTCCACTCCCAGTGCTGGGAGGAGGAGGATGTGAGACATTGCATGTAAAAGCATAGTGCCAACACATGGGATTCAGAGCTCATTCACTGTCACAATTCGCCTGTGTCTAATCATCCTTCTCACTGCCCAGATGGCTGCTGGCGAGAGTGGAAGCTGTCCTTGGACCTTTGTCCCCTGAGCTGACTGACAGTTCTGAAATTTCCATGTGGATAATGTCCACGACTCCTGTGGTGGTGTCCCTCATGGTGGTGTGGGGTCAGGCCCCCCTCCCAAGCTGGGTAGTTGGCAGGCAAAGGCCACAGTGCTTTGAACTATGGGACTATATTGAGAACACCCATGTCTCCAGGGCTTCCAGAACAATGGCTAATCAGTCCCATGGCAGCAACTCAGCATCCCCTTTCCAAGTCAATCAACTGTGCATTTTCAAAGCCAGTTCTTACTCAGCCCAGTTGCTGTCCCATGGAAGGGAGCACTTTTTTAGGCATCCCTGTTTAGCAATCTGTACCTTAAATTAGCATCTAAAATTGTGCCCTTAATTTGGCAGTTCTTATCTATCAAAGTTACAAACACACATGCCCTTGACAGAAGCCTGAGTTCTAGCACTTTATCCAACAGTTGTACTCACCTATATGCACAGAGGATAGTCACAGCAAGAGATGAGAAATAATCTAAATACCCACCAGTAGGAGATGGGTGACATATACACATGATGGAATGTCAGCCATCCAACATTTATTTGGATAACTGAAAATAGCTACTGAATGTGTGTTGTATGTCAGCTACTGTTCTAAGAGTCTATTAGTGAGCAAAACAAAGGTTTCCTGCCCCCATGGAACTTACATTCTGGTTTATGTGCCACATGCTAAGAAGCTATTAAAATAAGGCTGCTTCAGGTCCATGAGTAAGGATGCTGGCCCATCTCCCATCTCTGAGCTATGTGGTTAAATGAAAAAAAACCAGGTGTAGAGTGACTGTGCCGCCGTGTGCACTCAATGGAACTTTGTGTTTGCCTAGAATTTTTCTAAAAGGGTTCAGGAGAAACTGAAATAATAATGGCCCCTGGGAAGGAGCACCAAGGGACTAGGTGTCAGTTTTGGGAGGGATGAGTTACTCTTCACTGTTTGTAAAAGTGTGAATGTTTATCCTGTGCTTGCCTTACCAAAAAATGCAAAATGAAACAAAATACAGAAGACCTTTTACTCTGCCAGGTGCCTTCAAATTACTTAATCATCTAGACCAGAGTTTCTCAACCTTGGCACTTTGACATTTGGGCTGGATAATTCTTTGTTGGGGGTGGGGGGCTGACCTGTCCATTCTAAGATGTTAGCAGCATCCCTGGCTTCTACCTGTCTGATGCCAGGAGTACCTTCCCCTAGATGTGACAATAAAAACAAACAAGCAAACAAACAAAAAACACCTCCAGACATTGCAAGATTCCATGGAACCAAAATCACCCCCAGTTGAGAATCACTGCTCTAAAAAACTTTGAACTACAGTAGCAATCACTATCTCCATTAGACAGATAAGTAGAGGCCCAAAGAGGTTTTATAGTATTTTTTAAAATTATATGCTTCATTTTAAAATTGATATCTATTCATTTATGATTTTAAATACACATCCTCTACTGGCTAATTTTTAAGCGATCTATTAATATATAAATGAATATATAGAAGTAGAATGAGTCTAGTTTCTTACTTTGCTTCATCTGTTTCTAGTAGTGTTTTAACTCAGTTAAATCTTACTGGGAAAAAAAAATCTTACTGGAGATGTTGGGCTACATAGATAACAATCATTGAAAAAATAAATTAATTCAATCAAGATTTGGCAGGGGTTGGGGGGGGACTCTAATAGGATACTTGGCATTTTGAACAATTACATGTTGAAAAATCAAATCTCTTGCTTTGTTCAAAATGTAAACTTTACGCCCCAGAGTTGGAGTTGGCTGGCCTTATTTTTCTGGTTGGATTGTTATTTGTGTCATGAGGGCAGGACTAAACCTCACAATCCTTTTGTATCCTGTGGTGTCTAGGATAGTTCCCAAGGAGGCTTAAAATGAAGGCAGCCCAGCAGGCTATGGACAGAGTAAAGGCCAGGACCTGGGACACAGATGGAAACAGGTGAGGAGTGTTGTCAGCTGATGGGTTTAAAAACACAAGCTGCTAGGCTGCCTTTCAGAAAAGCCTCTAATCTGTGTTTGGCCTTGGCAGCTCCCCAGAGGAGCGAGGACAGCAGATTGTGGTACTGGGCAGGGAGGACTGTGTGTCCTGCCCCACCCCCCAGATCCTTTCCATCTCTGGGGCTTACTGTGCTGGGGGCTGGGATCACAAAGTAGGCATGGCCTGAGCATCTCACAGTGATGGGGTTGGCAGACATAACAGACGAGAGCAATGCAGTGTGATTTGAGCCATGATGGGGGTTGCAAAGATGCTCTGGGGACCTTGAGAAGGGAGTAGGGGAAGACTTGCTGGGAGAGGTAATGTATAAGCTGAGCCTGAAAAGACAGGGCACACTCAGATGCACCAAGTGTGTGTCCATCTCTTCCCTTTCACCCTCACATGACTGGTGAATATCACCTCCTCCGGAGGCCCTCCTTGACTGACCCCTTGGAAAGTAGACCCTCTAAAATCCCTGTTTTATTTTCTTCATAGCCCCGCTCAGCAGCTGGTCTTGTTTACATGTTTGCCTACTAGCCTGTGGCCCTCCTCCAGAAAGAGTTCCAGAGACTGTGAACTTCTTGTTCCCTGTGAATACTCAACACCTGTGGGAAGACCGTCTGCCAGGCGGATGAGAGTGGAGTTGAGAAGTGGAGAGGGAGGACACTTCTAGAATGCATTGGGCAGGTCAAGATGAGAAGGACTTGAAGGGTCCTATGGCTCTGGCACCAGGGTGGAATATGGGGGAGGGGTGAGCCTGAGATGCAAACGGGAGGAGGAGAAATCTAGATAACTGCCTGGAAAGGTTAGATTGAGAAAGAGAGCAGAAATCTGGGGTGGGAACTAGAGAGGGACCACTCGTTTATGGAGGGGTATGATCCATATCTTTACTAGGAAGGAGACCAGAATTTTTTTAAACTACAGATCAGGAGCCAATGATGGTTGGATGGCATCACTGACTCAATGGACATGAGTTTGAGCAAGCTCGGAGTTGGTGATGGACAGGGAAGCCTGGTGTGCTGCAGTCCATGGGGTCTCAAAGAGTCAGATGCAACTGAGTGAATGAACTGAACTGAACAGGAGCCAATGGAGACCAAGGAAAGAGAGGAACACCTAGTGCAAGGTCCCTGGAGAGGCCTGGTAGAAGTTTTTGTCTCTGACCACTGGAAGGTGCCTGCTCCATTGTGTCCAGAAGATGAGAAAATGCATGGGTGCCAGTTACAGATGCTTGGTGCACAGCCTGGGGTTGTGGGGGGCAGGATGTGGTGTGAACTGTCCCTGCAGCAAGGTCAATGGCTGTTAGGGGCACGGGAGAAATGGAAAGTGGTTGGGTAAGGGCCAGAAGTCAAGCAGTGAGTATAGCTAGGGAGGGAAGTGAGTGGAGCTAGGAGGGCAGGTAGCAGGGAGGGTGGGAAGAGGCAGGTGACAAGAGACTGGAAGAAGAAAAGCACATATTATTACTGTGACTATTCAGGGAGGATGGGAAAAGCATCAGGGTGTGCTCTGAGAGTGCGGCATCTGATCGTGAGACTTCAGAGTGGTCTGTCGGGGGTGACAGAGCCTAGGCTGTGGCAGGGAGGGAGGAGGGAGCCCAGGAGGGCTGGTGGCTAAGGTGGAGGGATGGGTCATTACAGATGAGGAGGTCAAGCAACTGTGTAGCCATGTGCTGCATTTGTTCCCGAGGATAGCAGGGCTTGGGGTGAAGGAGCCAGATGGGAACTTCCAGAAGGAGGACAAGTGCATTTGAGATGGAACTTTGGAGGTGTGTGGAGCTTTGGAGGTGTGTGAGTGGCAGAAGGCTACACAAAGGCTGGTCGGGGAAGAAAGGAGGCCACCACAGTCCTGAGGAACAAGAAGTGAAGGTCCTCAGGGTAAGGCCAGGTTTAGTGAAGCAGAAGGTGGAGGGTGGGAGTGTTCTGTGACACAGGAACGGCTTCTGGGAGCATCGAGGGAGGGAGCAGGAAACCGGGAGGGAGCAGAATCAGGGCTGGGGTCACAGGACAGATGGTGGGTGTTTGAGGCTGAGGATGCCAGGCTGGGGTTGGCTGGCCTCCAAGCTCCCAGGAGGCCCCTGCTGGGTCTGTGGGTTCCAGCCCATGGGCCAAATGCTGTGCTTCCCTTCCGGCAAACACATTTGGAAAGGAGTCTGGACAGGAGGAATTGAGGGACCCTGCCCCAAGTAGGAAACAGCTGCTCCCTTGGGAAGAATCTGGGCCTCTCTCCCCAGCTTGCTTTGGAGACCCTGGAACCTCCCGAGGCCTGTGCATCCCTCTTCTTTAGAAGGGCAGCCCTGCCCAGCCCCGGGAGTGCACCGAAGGTCGCCACCTCGAGCACAGTTTAGGGACAAGGCAGAAATTCCAGAAATGCCAGATTCTTTGAGGGGCCCCGGCGGGCTCAGGACAGGAGGGCCCTGCTTGGCTCCACCGCCAGACGGCGCCCTCGGCCCGGTGGGGGGCCGACCGGCCGTCGGGGGGCGCTGCGCTCGCCCTGCCCGGTGCTCCGCCCCTGAGCGGTGGGCGGTCGGCCCCGGCCCGGAGTGGCCGAGAGGGTGGGGCGAGGGCGGGGCGAGGCCGCGCCTGGGCGGGAGGGACGGGCCGGGGGCGGGGGAAGGCGCCCGAGGGGCGGGGCGGGGGCCCGCGGCGTTTCTCCCTCCCTCCCTCCTTTCCTTTCTTTCTCCTCTTCTCATTCTCCAGTCTTTTCTTTGCCTCCGCAGCCGGCCGAGGGGGCGGGCCCTGCAGCCTTTGTTGCTCGCAGACCGAGCGCAGCCGCCCGCCGGGCGGCAGTCCGGGCCCAGGACGCCGGGAGCTGCACGCGGGTCGGGCATGTCCTGAGCCGGACCCGGGACCGGGCAGCGAACAGACGGGACGGACGAGAGCGTGTGCGAGGGGTCGCCCGGCGGCCGCCTGGCCCCGGCCATGCCCTGCGGCCCGAGTCCCCGAAGCCCCGCGCCGCTGCTGCGCCCCTTCCTCCTGTTCCTCTCGGTCCTGGCGCCGGGCGCCCACGGATCTGCACCAGGTGGGTGGCTGCCCCGCCCCGGCCGGCCGGCCCTGCCACCCCTCCCCGCTTCTCCAGCCTAGGTTCAGCCCCTTCTCACCTCTGCAGATTCCGCTCCCGCCAGGCTCTGCCGGGAGGGGTCGCCCCCAACTCCCCTGGTAATAGGGACGGGGTGGGCTTAGGGCAGCGAAACCGCGCCTTCAGGGAGCCTTCCCCAGCCCTCGACTCCACTACGCACCCTGCCCATAGCCAGAATAAGCCTCTTACACGCTCTTCGAGCTCCGCCCCCACCTTGGGTGCAGCAGAGCGCGTCTGTCTCTCCCGGGGGATCTCTTCGTGTGAGCGACTGGACGGAGCGCGGCTTGCTCACGATGGATTCGGTTTCTCGCCCTCCTCAGCGTGCCTCATCTGGAAAACAGGCTGGCCAGGGCGCTGCGGGCGGAGTCGCGGGGTCGCAGGTCTACGCGGTTCCCCGCCGAGCCCCGGCCCCCCGCCTCTAGGCAGCCTGCCCGGTCCTCAGGCTCCCCGGGCCAGGTCTTGCGCGGTCCTTGCACTTCCTGCCTCCCCCTCCCCCAAGTGTGAAGGCGCCGGGAGTGCAGCGCGGAGAAGGAGCTTCTTTCCCCGGCCCTGGGCTCGGCTCTCCCCGCCCAGCCCCGCCCGGCTGGCCTCCGACGAGCCTCTGGCCCGCGTCCAGAATCATGCTCCGTCCCGGTCCGCCGGGCCGCGGAGCTCCTGGAGCGTCCGGCCTGGGAATTTAGGATCGGAGGGTGTAGAGGAACCCCTGGCCTTGCGCTCTGGGAGCTCTTGGTCTCAAGGGCGCGGGTCGAATAGTGGGAAGCGCTGTTCAGGCGAGGCAGTCGGGAAGAAGGCTTTGTAGGAGAGGAGGGGCCCGAGCTGAGGGACTGAAAGGATGGATGAACTTTAGATGGGCTGGAAGGGTATGTGTGTGTGAGATGGATGAACTTTAGATGGGCTGGAAGGGTGTGTGTGTGTGTGAGATGGATGAACTTTAGATGGGCTGGAAGGGGGTGTGGAGAGGTGGGGGGATGCGTGGGTGTGGGTGGGTGGGTGCAGCCCAACCGGGCTTGGTGGAGCGGGTGGGGGTGGGGTGGCTAGGTTAGGCCTTCGTGCTGGGTTTGGGGGAGATCTCCCTCCCCAGCAGAGGGATTGTGGTTGTGAGGCTGAAAAAGCATATGGCCCGGAATGTAGGGAGCATTTAAGCCAGATCTCAGAGGTTCGAGGAACCGTTGAGGGGTGCAGCTGATGAAAGCCGTTGAGGGGAGCAGTGTTTTAGGGAGGAAGCCCCCTGTCTAGCACCAATGTGTAGGGGACAGAGCAAATATTTAATGAGACCTACCACGTGCCAGCATCCCTACTTCTTATTTCTCATCAGCTCCACAACAACCCTGCAAGGTGTGTGATGGAAAGTTCTTTTATAAATGAGAGGACAGATTCAGAGAGGAGAGTGACCTGCTGGGTTAGACTCCTGGGCTACCTGGGTGAAGCCTGTGTTTTCCCACTGCCCCACAGCTGGGGACCGAGGAGGGTGAACCAGGTGATGGGAGCAGGAAAGTAGTTGCCCCAAGGAATTGCCCCTGAAGCTTGAACTTGGGTCCAGGCTCCCTGGCAGCTGTGGGAGAAAGGTTATGGGGGGGGGGGGGGAGTGCCGGTGGTCAGGGTCCCCTTCTACTGCAAGCCAGACACATGTATGAGCTTGCCCATGTTGGTAAACTGGGATAATGGTATCTACCTCCAAGGGTTGTTATGAGAATTAAGTGAGATGCTGAACCTGTTTGCTTCGCATAGAGGAGAGAGACTGCCATGTGGTGGCCATGGTTTTTATGAGTCTGCCAGGTAGACCCAATAAGATTAGGGAGTCCTTGGTGTGTCCTGAAACTTGGACCTGCCATTTGGGGTGGAGGAAAGGCAGGCACCCCTCCTATCTAATCTGGGTCCACCTTCAGGTGAGTGTCTGTCTCCAGTGTCCCTATAGATATGTTGCATGAGATCCTCCCCAGTCTTCTCCCACTCAGGACCCCTGACATGGAGGCTGCTGAGTGCTTTGTCATTTTCTTCAGATCTGCCTGGGGGACCTAGACTGGGTGCTCTGCCCACTGAATGCAACCCTGTTAGAGGCCAAAGAGCACATCTTGGCCTCACTTTTAGAAAAATGTAACAAACTAAAGGACTTGTTGGGATTGCTGGGACTGGCGCAGGGGCCCACCAAAACACTGTTTCACACGTGAGCTCTGTATGCATGTGCATGCACACATGTGCATGCAGGCAAGTGCAGACGGACTGGAGCGGGAGGGCATGTGTCACACACACCCTGGTTATTTTTTCTCTTTGTCATGAGCTATGGGTCATTTGAAGAGCTGGACTGTAACTCAGGTACTCGATAAGGAGGTGAGGGTAAACACCATGTTGGCATTTCTCTGGTAGAAGTTCCAGGGTGACAGTTCTGTCACCTAGCAGTGATATTCAAAGTACTCAACACCCGTTGTGGCAGGAACTCACTCCAATCACAACCGACTAACCTTCCTGGCAGGACTGACTCAGGCATGAACCACTGGCAGTCCCTGTTCCCATCTGCAGTAGCTTTAGCACTGGTGGCTCAGCTCTGATGCACCCACAAACCAGACTGGAACCTGCAATTACCCTTTGCTGGCACTGGGTGGTGGTAGTTTCAGCCACCATGATCTCTACCAGCCATCAGCTATCAGAGACACTGAAAGAGTTATTTTTTAACTTACTCTGTCCTCATTTAAAAATATTTTAATGGAAAAACAATACCAATTGACTATTGAAAATGAATGCAGAATAAAGCAAGAAAATAAAAATTATTGCAGTAAAAGTGGTAACATTCTGTAAGCACTAATATTTTTACATTTCTTATTAAAATATTAAGACATTAGGCAAAACAAGTTTTTAAAGAAATAGCTAAGTATACTTGAGAACTTCTCTTGCTAATTTTCAGTTATAACTTAGTCATTTGCTTTGTGTTATCATCTATTGTACTAAGCGCTTACGTATTGACACACTGGATTCTCACACAACCTAAGGTACAATTATTATCATGCCCATATTACAGATGGAGGAGCTGTGTGGTTAATTTACCCATGGCCTCACAGCTTTTGATGGTAAAGTTATGATGCAGACCCAGGCGCTCTGACTATAGAGCACATTACTTCTAATGCTTATCGCCTGCAGCATATTTCTACTTAGCCCCATCATATTTTTGAACTTAAGGGGATGCTTCTTTATAACTCACTTGAATTTATATCTTGCAATAATTTCCCAAGGTCTAGAGCAGAGGTTCTCCACATGACTGCATATCTCCAGGTTCATGGATCCCTTCCCAGGGACACTGTTGAGCTCTCAGGGGCCATCTCTTCCCAGGGAATCTGATTCCCCAGCCTTATACATAGTGCCCTGTCCCACCCACACACAGTTGAGGACACTGCCCTTGCCTAGAAGTGTGCCATGTAGCTTCCGTTTTTCTGGTACACTGAGCACTTCTGGGCTAATTGGCATCAGCACCCCATACCTTCAGCTTGTCTTTAGCAGCCTTGACTGTGATGGTTCATGCCCTGGAAACTGCTTTTAATATTCATTTAAAATAAAACCTTGGAGTGTAACTGTTTTCTTATTCTCCATCTATTTGCTCCATGACCCTTCTTAAATTTTCTGACTTGGATACTCTGAGCAGATGAGGAAACTGAGGCTCAGCAAGATGAAGTGACTGTCCAGGCCACGCAACTATTGAGTAGCCAAGTTGGCACCTGAATCCGGTTCAGCGCTCACACTTTTGCATTGTTTTGTAATTCCATTGTCTCTCATTCCACAAAACACATGCCTGGATCAAGCTTCTTATTGCTTGTTCCCCTCACCTGACTTTTTCCTATTTCTCTGGTGGTCTATCACATGATAACCCACCACCAAGCTGTCCTCATCCTCATGCTTAAATATGTACTCATATGTCATGGGGACATTTCACATGTGCCCCTTTGACAAAGCTCTTCTTCATCCCCATACATCTCTGGGGTGTCCCCTCCCCTCTCTTGGACTTCCTCAGCACTGTGCCAGGGGTATGGATCATGAGTGCCCTGCACCTATTTATTCTCAGGGCTAGGATGGTGTCTTATACATTTTCCTGGACGTTAGGGCACTTAACTCTCCCTCACAACAGCAAATGCCGTGGACCAGGCAGGTAACAAGGCTGATGGGAAGACATTTTTCTTGAATCGTAGGGCCTCTTGGCCCAGCCCTTGTTTTCCCATTGTTGTTAGAGATTCAGTTCTTTACTGAATGAAAGACAGCACAAGTGTGAAGCTGAGGGCAACCTATATTTAGCCACAGTGCTGAGAACGCCTAGGAAGTGGTAGAGACTGAGGCAGATGGAAAAGCACAGGCCCTCTCTAATGGGCCACTTCTGACAAGTGTGAATTTAGGCCTGACATGGATGGATGATAAGACTTTAAGCTGAAAATTGAGATTTTTGTACAAAATCATGTGATTTTTTTTCCCTTTTTTTTAAAAAAAACACTGGCAACTGATTAAAAACTGTTCAACATTTTTGCCAGTCCAGCAAACCACTACCTGCCCCTAATCAATACACTGACAAAAAAACAAGTCTGCAAGCTGTGGTTGTGGAGTTGCCCTCCCAAATGCCCTTAAGAGGATGAGACAGCAAGAAGGCTCCTTCAACTATCCAGCCCAATGGCTTCCAAATGCCAGCCTTGAAATGGTTACATCAGAATCCCCAGAAGGTTTAGAAAAATACAGATTCTGAGGCCTCAGAGCCCTGGATCTATGGAATCGGAATCTCTGGGCTGGGTCCTGGGCAGCTGCAGTTTTTCAAAGCTCTCCAGGTACTGCTGATGTTCAGCCAGGTTTATATCCAGTAAGGAATTTCCTAACTTCCCTGATGACAACAATCCCTTGAGGCTTTTGGTAAAAACACAGCTTCCCAGTCCTATTTCCTGGATATGCTGATTCAGTGGGTCTGGGACATGGCCTGGGAATTTGTTTTTCACAAATTCTCATCCAAGAGTCTGGAAAATCCTTGCACTTGTGCCCTCCTGAAACTCAGAGACAAGGACAATTTCCCTAAAGTCACTGAACAAGTCACTCCAGCCCGCCCTGTGTCCCGCTCCTGGGGGACTGTCCTAATGGCTGGTCCACTGGGGCAGTTGTGGGCAGTGGGGGGTGTCCTCAGCGGGGCTGCGGGGGGCCACACCACGCAGCGCACTCTTCAAGTGGTTTGGCAGGAGACAGATTGGAGGGTGAGCTGAGTTTCTGCAGCCTGGCCTGGAGGGAACTTCAGGCTGGACTTGGCTTTCTTTCCCACCCCAGCAGCAGCCACACAGAGAGCCCTGTAGGACAGCTGCAGGGCACTCAGGCATTCTTGTGGCCTTGAGGGGTCTTTGTCATGAGCAGCCAGGATCCCAAGAGCTGGGCATAAAGCCAGGACAAGCCCCAGAGCTAGGCAGGACCAGAGGCTGGGACAAACCTCAGATGAGCCAGTTTCCTACCTGCACTTTAAGGCCTGAGAACTGTGGAGAAGGAAAAGAGAGAACAAGAGCGTGAGCCCTGGGGTTCCTGCCCACTCCCAGCAGTGCTGCTCTTCTTTGTGTGTGTGTCCACATGAGATTTCTTTTGAAGACTAGGTCTAGTGGTCAAAATAGTTGGAAAAATTTGATCGAATCCAGTTCCTTTATGTTCACTCAGTCATGTCTGACTCTTTGTGACCCCATGGACTGCAGCACGCCAGGCTTCCCTGTCCATCACCAACTCCTGAAGCTTGCTCAAACTCATGTCCATCGAGTCAATGATACCATCCAATCATCTTATCCTCTGTTGCCCCCTTCTCCTGCCTTCGATCTTTCCCAGCATCAGGGTCTTTTCCAGTGGGTCAGTTCTTTGCATCAGGTGGCCAAAGTATTGGAGCTTCAGCTTCAGCATCAGTCCTTTCAATGAATATTCAGGACTGATTTCCTTTAGGATTGACTGATTGGATCTCCTTGTAGTCCAAGGGACTCTCAAGTCTTCTCCAACACCACAGTTAAAAAAACATCAATTCTTCAGTGCTCAGCTTTCTTTATAGTCTAACTCTCACATCCATACATGACTACTGGAAAAACCATAGCTTTGACTAGACAGACTTTTGTTGGCAAAGTAATGTCTCTGCTTTTTAATATGCTGTCTTGGTTGGTCATAGCTTTTATGTTAGCAATGGAGAAACTGAGACGCAGCAAGAGACAGACCTCTGAGAATGAAGAAGGATGTTACTGGGAGGTTGAAACCATTTGAGAGACTTTATTACTCTTTCTGTGTGCCTTTAGGCTAGTCTCTGCACTTCTCTGAATGTCTGTCTGCTTTCTCCAGGAGCAATCTGGAGACTCTCCTGCAGGTGTCCTAACTTAGAATCCATGGCCACAGAGACCTGGGTAGAATTCAGAGGATGAACTTGGATGAGACAATATTACATCTTTAATTTTTCTAACCTTGAAGTGAAATTCAGTATTTCCTTCCATTACAAACATTAACAACAAATCACAATAGTATTAGCAGCATCTCTGATTTAGCTACCAATTGTTGTTCAGTTGCTAAGTCATGTCCAACTCTTTGCGACCCCATGGACTGTAGCATGCCAGTCTTCCCTGTCCATCACTATCTCCTGGAGTTTGCTCAAATTCATGGTCATTGAGTCGGTGATGCTACCTGACTATCTCATTCTCTGCCTCCCCCTTCTGCTTTTGCTTTTAATCTTTCCTAGCATCAGAGTCTTTTCATTGAGTCGGCTCTTCACATCAAGTGGCCAAGGTATTGGAGCTTCAGCATCAGTCCTTCTAGTGAATATTCAGGGTTGATTTTCTTTAGGATTGATTGGTTTGATCTCTTTGCTGTCCAAGGGACTCTCAAGTCTTCTCCAGCACCACAATTTGAAAGCATCAATTCTTCAACACTTAGCCTTCTTTAGGATCCAACTCTCATATCTGTACATGACTACTGAAGAACCATAGCTTTGACTAAATGGACAAAGTGATGTCTCTGCTTTTTAATACACCATCTAGGTTTGTCATGGCTTTTCTTCCAAGGAGCAAGCATCCTTTAATTTCATGACTGCTGTCACCGTCTGCAGTCCACAGTGATTTTGGAGCCCAAGAAGAGAAAATCTGTCACTGTTTCCACCTTTTTGCCATCTATTTGCCATTAAGTGATGGGACCAGATGCCATGATCTTAGTTTTTTGAGTGTTGAGTTTCAAGCCAGCTCTTTCACTCTCCTCTTTCACCCTCATCAAGAGGCTCTTTAGTTCCTCTTCCCTTTCTGCCATTAGAATAGTATCATCTGCATATCTGAGGTTGTTGATGTTTCTCCGGACAATCTTGATTCCAGCTTGTGATTCAGCCAGCCCAGCATTTTGCATGATGTACTCTGCATAGGTGTTAAATAAATTGAGTAACAATATACAGCGTTGATGTATCCTTTCTCAAGTTTGAACCAGACTGCTGTTCTACATCTGGTTCTGTCACTTCTTGACCTGCATACAGGTTTCTCAGGAGGCAGGTAAGCTACCAATAGAGACAAGAAAAAAAATTTTTTTCTTTTTTTTAAATCTCAATACAGTTGCAGGTATCTTGAAATAAAGCTGATGCTCTTCACTACTTTGAAATCATCATAGTAAACTTGCCTTTGGATCTTGTTTAATGCATTAGGAAAGGAACACATGATTTCACATCTACTTTTTAAATTATTTTGACAGCTTTAATTCAATATAATGAATTTCCTTGGTATTCCTATACATTTAATCTTACACACTTAAAAACATTTTGTTGAGGAGTTCATGGCAGAAAAAGGGTAAGAATCAAGACTTACTGGGAAATCCAAGCAGACAGAATCACTAGGAGAGGATTCTGGAAATTTTTCCAACCCTGGAATCTTTTCATTTGAACTCTCAAATGTGAAAGAAATAAACTGGAGCTGCTTGGTTGAAGTGGTAGTGATGAGGGGCCAGGGAGCCCTACCTGGGTGGTCCTCTGACTCCCCATCTCAGGAGGCCTGGAGATGTGTGCAGAAGAACCATCAGGCTAATAATAATCTAATAATCATCATTGCCATCATATTCAGTCATATTCATCATATTCAGTGGGCCAGGAGCTGCTATATGTGGAGTAGTTCAGTTCATTTAATCTTTAGCCCCCAAAGTGTAAGTTATGTTCCCCTTTATACAGATTTTACACATACTTACTGAGAAACTACTAGTTTCCAGACATTCTTGAACACTTAAAATCTTCAGCAAAGACTCTAAAGATTCTTGCCCTCCTAGAGTTCATACTGGGAGGAGATGGAGAAAGAAAAATAGAAAAAAGAATGCAGATGTTAAGTGATACAGTATGTGAGAGGTGCTATGGGGGAAAATAAAGCAGGGGGGGGGGGGGGGGGGTAGGGAGAGGCCAGGAGTTGCAATTTTAAGAAAAATCCTGAGGCAGGAGCAGCAAGGAGGCCAGTGGCCGAATGGAGGGAATTCCGGAGGTGTAGCTGAGATGAGATCGGAGGTATCCTTGCCTAGGACGTCCCTGGCATCGCTAGAACAGTGTGTGAGCTGGGAGCCACTGCAGGGTTTTGAGCAGAGAAAGGCTATGATCTGACAGCTCTGGAACGAGTCCCTGTGACCACTAAGTGGAAAGCTAATCAGACTAGAGGAGAGGGACCTGAGACTTCACTAACGGAAGCAGGGAGACTTGTGAAGAGGTTACTGCGATCACCGGGGTGGAGCCAGCGAGGCACGAAGCGGTGAAACCGCACAGGTGGTGGGTGTTTGAATCCCGGCACTCCGACCTCAGCGCCCCCTCGGCCGCTCCCCACTCCGTCTCGGCTCTTCTCCCTGCAGGGCACGCCGCCGAGGGCCGGGCGGCGGTGGACATTGTGCACCCGGTGCGTGTGGATTCGGGGGGCTCCTTCCTGTCCTATGAGCTGTGGCCCCGCGCGCTGCGCAAGAGGGATTTGTCCGCGCGCCCCAGCGCGCCCACCTTCTACGAGCTGCAGTACCGCGGCCGCGAGCTGCGTTTCAACTTGACCGCCAACCCACACCTGCTGGCGCCCGGCTTCGTGAGCGAGACGCGGCGGCGGGGCGGCCTGGGCCGCGCGCACATCCGGGCCCGCGCCCCCGCCTGCCACCTGCTAGGTGAGGTGCAGGACCCCGAGCTCGAGGGCGGCCTGGCGGCCATCAGCGCCTGCGACGGCCTGGTGAGTGCGCTGGGTGAGCTGGCGGGACGTGGGGGCCACCCCCATCCCCACCCCCTGCCTGGCCGCGGACTTGTCTGCTGGTTTTGGCCCGTTGGAGTTCCCCCTTCCAGCCTCAGTATTAGCACCTGTAAAATGGAGTGGACAAGCTCAGGCCTTTTTGTTCTCTAGGGCAGCGGTTCTCAAACTTTAAAGCGAGCCAGAGTCACCGAGGCCTAGTTGAAAGCCTGATGTCCCATAGGGTAGATGAGGGGAGGACGTGGGGAATGTGCATTTCTGGCAATTTCTCAGATAGTGTTGAAGTTGTCAGTCCAGACTTTGAAAACCAATTTTTGCTTGTGGTGTGTGTGCACTAAGTAACTCAGAAAGCAGTTGAGTCCCTCATCTTCAGGGGTATCAGTTGACTTCGATCGCGGACCCCCGCCCCCACCGCGCTTCCCTGCAGAGCCGGCCTCAGCCTCCAGGTTTTTCTGGGTTGAGGTAATGCTGGCAGCCACGTGCAGCCCTAATTGCCTCCCTCTGCTTGAGAGTGGAGTCAGAGCAGCTCCCCTCCAGGCAGCATAGGGCCCCTTTTGCTCCCAGCTCCGGAGGATGGGGTTGGGAGGAGTGGGGGTGGGTGGGTGCACATTCTCAGCCATCCTCTACTCCCTGCAGGGAGCCTCAGCTCAGATTGCTCAGGAAAAGCCGTCGCTGTGGCAGAGCGGGGGCTCATGACATATAGCCCACCTCACAGGCTCTAGGGCAGTTGGTCCCCAGTCTTTTTGGCATCAGGGAAGGGTTTCGTGGAAGACAATTTTTCCACAGACTGGGGGTAGGGGGTAGTTTCAGGATGATTCAAGCACATTACATTTATTGGGCACTTTATTATTATTATTACATCAGCTCCACTTCAGATCATCAGGCATAAGACCCTGGAGGATGGGGACCCCTGCTCTAGGGTATCCGGGCCTTTGAGAGCCCAGCTGCCTGGGAAAGTCTCGTTTACAGGAGCCTGTACTTCTCCCTTTTCATACAGTTAAATTAATCTTGTTGTGCCTGAGCAACAGGTACGCATATGGGCATTGTTCCCATTTTACAGATAAGGGAACAGGCTCAGAGAGGAACCTGCCCAAGGTCACTCAGTTTTCCAGTAGTGGAGTCAACCCAGGCCTCCAGCCCCTAGAGCTAATGATACACTGTCTAGCACTCCATGTTCTCTGCCCTGAGTGACCCAACTGGCTGACTTGGAGCCAATGAGGAGGGGTCCGAGGGAGGAAAAACTTTCTTCCATGTTGGAGTCCTGAGCTTCCCTAGTAGCTGGTGGGTTGCTCACAGATACTTCCCAAGGCCCCTCCTTCCTCTGGCCTCTCAATGCCAGCAAACATCCCGGAGACACCCCTTTCAATTTCCCTTCTCTGGAAGATCCTGGGACCAAGGAAGAGGGTGTCCTGGTGGCAGTGGGTATCTCCATGGCCATCTTGTTGGATTTGGAAGGAAACCCATTTCTTTCTTTCTTTTTTTTTTTTTGGTAATCAAAAATTTTTTTATTGAGACATTATGAAAATATTAGTTTCAGACAATTTGACACCGATTTATTAATATATTGTAAAATGATCACAATAAGTCTAGTTACAAATTTGTGTACATAAAGGTTTTTTTCTTGTGATGAGAACTTTTAATCTTTCTTAGCAACTTTCAGAAACCCAAAACAGTGTTATTAACTATAGTCACCATGCCGTACGTTACTAACCCAAAGCTTTTTTTCCCTTGTTGTTAAGCATTTAATTGTAATTCTTGCTTATCTTTGGAATGTGGGGGATGCAGACCTATTTTGTGCTTCATAAGAAACACATAAGGGCTAAGGGGTGGGGTGGGTGTATGGAACAACCTCCTGGGCTGATGGCTTCTGAGCTCAGCCTAGAAGCCTTTGGCTGGGTAAGGTGGTAGGGAGGGGTGTTCCAGCCACAGGGTACAAAGTGAGTAAAGATCTAGAGGGAGGAAAGCGCAGTGTGCCTGGGGTCAGCTGGCGTGATGGGCTTTGCTGAGCAAGCCTGGCCTCTGGGGTGGGGGAGGGCAGCCGAGTGCCAGTAACCCCCGTGTGACCCGGGTGCTCCTTTCCCAGAAAGGTGTGTTCCAGCTCTCCAACGAGGACTACTTCATTGAGCCCCTGGATGGTGTCCCTGCCCGGCCTGGCCACGCCCAGCCCCACGTGGTATACAAGCGCCAAGCTCCCGAGAAGTGGGCAGAGCCGGGGGACTCCAGGGCTCCAGGCACCTGTGGGGTGAAAGGTGTGTTTCTCTGCTACCAGCTCTGGGGTAGGGGATGAGTCTGGGACCATGGAGGGGCCTTTCTAGAACCCTCTGTTAACACCCCCATGCCCAGCTTCTCTGGGACTGAAGGGACACAGACAAACCAACAGCCACATCATCATAGCCTGTGCCCTCTATGTGTGGGCACATAAATGGGCCTGTCCCAGCTCATCCCCGGGACTGACTCCTCTCACCACCAGCTCATCTACCTCCCCGCCTCAGAGCTCAGTCTCTCTGTGTCCCCTCCCTGCTCCCTGCCTGTGACACCTCTACCTGTGGCAGCCATTCTTTCTCGAGTGTCCAGTCAAGGCTGGGCCATACGCAACTTCAGCAGTTCAACTAGGCGGGAACCTCCCTCCCCTCCCCACTCTGGTCTCACCCCAGAAAAACTGACCTCTGTTATTGGGGACCTAGAGTGTGGCACCCAGCACCTCGTCTGCAGAGAGGCCAGTCCATGCTGGGCCAGTCCAGGTAAGGAGCTGCCTGCTAAAGGCTGCTGGGGTCCGTGGAATGCTCCAGCTTCACAAGCTACCCATGGCTAGGGACTCTCTTTCCTGGGACACATATTCACCAAGGCTTGCTTCTTGGCCTCGGTTTCCCCAGCTTCATAGATGTGCTTACTCTTCTGATATGGGGGACAGCCTGGGGCAGTGGGGCAGGTCTCCAGGGGGGTCAGCTGGTTGGGGTCTTGGCCAGTCTCCTCAGGCTGGGGGTTAGGTTGAGGGGTCTGTGTGTGCTCGGAAGTACTTACCCCCCAGTGGGGGTGGATCAGCATAGGGAGATAGGGGCTCAGGCTATGAAAATTGAGCCTCACAGGCTCAATGCTTCACGGTGTTCATAGCCCCTCGAAGTCATCCTCTGAGGCTTCTGGGCTTATCTATTTATTGTCAGGCAGCCCCAGGGTCAAACAAGGAAAGTGACTAGGTCAGGGCCACACAGCACAGGTCTGGGGCAGAGTCACACTGGGAGTGCAGGCCCCTTGTCTGATCCCAGCACTGTTCTGCTGACCCAGAGAGGGCTCACTGGGGAGAGGTCCTTGAGACGTGTGTCTTGGGCCAGCCTCCTGGCAGCTAGCCCCCACCCCTTCTGCACCCACAGAGTTTCCAGAGCTGGAGCCGCAGCGGGAGCGCTGGGAACAGCGGCAGCAGTGGCGGCGGCAGCTGAGGCGTCGACACCGGCGCTCGGTCAGCAAAGAGAAGTGGGTGGAGACCCTGGTGGTAGCTGACGCCAAAATGGTGGAGTACCACGGGCAGCCGAATGTCGAGAGCTACGTGCTGACCGTCATGAACATGGTGAGGCTGCTGCAGGCGGCGTGTGGTGGGGGGTGGTGAGGGCTGCCAGGAGGTGGTGTTGGTGAGCCCCAAAGGGGTTACCCCAGGACCCAAGCCAGGTACAGGCTTCCAGCTCCTGAGTCACTGGGAGAGAACCTGGGCAGATGTGAGACTGGAGGTCTTGGCACCCCACTGGCTCAGCAGCCTCTGCCCGCTGCTAGGACCAGAGTGAGGGAGGAGGGCATGAAGCAACCTCGACCTTGTGCCTGCCTGGAGTCACTCAGACTGGTTGGCCCGTCCACACCACTGTAAACCAGCACCTCCCTCCTCTGTGCTGGGACCTGGGCTGGTCACTGGGGACGTGGAAATGCCCAATCAGACCAGCCCCTGCCTGAGCCATCAGCAGGCATTAGAGTTAGAAGGACCTGTCCAGTCCTATGGTCTACTAGCTGGTGGTGACCTTGGGCAAGCCACATTACCTGTCTTAGCCTCAGCTTTCTCAGCTGTGAACTGGGGATGACAATAGTACTTGGGTGGTACAATAGGGTTGGCACACTGTCTTGATCCCATAGGACAGTTGAAGTAACTAGGCCCCATGAGGGTGAGTGACTTGCCCAGGTCACAAGGCTAGGCCAGGACAGAGCTGAACAGGAGCCTCGATCTCCCCAGTCCTACCTGGGGCACTGTGGCAGGTTGAAGCTGGTGATTCCCACTCCTTTAGTGCCAGCCGGTCCCTCCCAGCTGCTGCCCCAGGTGTGTAGGTGGGAGGCATCAGGCAGCCAAGCTGCTTCCTGCGCCCCCTGGGAGAACAGATCTCTGCCCTTGGCATTCTTAGCAGGTTACCCACTGAACAGCACTGTTTTCCCTCTGGGCTGGGTGACTGAGAGCAGGTTGGGTGTGTGTGCCCTTCAGCTGGTGTGGCCAGTGTCATGTGCTGCGACCTCCCCCATATCAGCCTTTCACCCCCAAAATACTAAAGGAAGTGTGTGCTCTGGGTCATCTAAGGCCACTTCTTTTATAGCCATGAAATCAAGGGTCAGAGAAAGGAAGGAGCTCTGTCTGTGGCCATCATGCCCCCACTGCTCGAGTCTGCATTGGCAAGCTCAGCCCTGGGCCAGTTCCTGCCTGACTTGGCCACCCATGTTGGCTCCCTCCTCCTAATGGAATAAAGGCCATGGCCTTCTGCCTGGCCCCTAAGGTCTCTAAGGCCCAGCCGAGCCTCCTTCTAGCCTTGTCTGCCCAGAGAAACAAGCCACTAACCACCAGGGTTCAAGAGGGATTGTTGCTGGACAGCAGGGCCCTGCTCCTGGGCTGGGGTGGGGGGCAAGACCAGGTTTCCAGGCCACGAGATCCTCCCCTCACAGGCTCAGCCTGAAAGAGGCCTCGGAGCTTGGCTGGAGCCACCAATTGTTACCTGGGTTCATCAGCCTCACTTTTACTGAGTGGTCCGTGTAGGACGGTATTGAGCCCTCCAGGCTCCCCCCGTGACATCCCCTGTATGCCAGGGGTCAAGGATTTGGCCCCAGAGCGAGGCCCCTTCTCGCCTCCCTGTCTAGGCCCACAGGACACAGGCATTTACCTTGTGAGCCCCACCCTGGAGGAGGGAGGGTCTGGCTTTCAGAGTCATGTGCTCTGGACAGTGTCACAATTTTCATGAGCTGGCAAGTCCAGCATTGGTCTGGACAGAGCGGAGGCACCTGTGAAGCTAACAATGCTAGATACCCAACAGGGAGACTCCAGGAAATGATAGGGGCATGGACGGCAGGCAGCCAGCCTCCGAGGAGGGCTGGACTGGGTGTTAGGGCTGAGCCTTCTGAACACCTGCTACTTGGCCGGTGTTCCACACCCACTGCCTCATCTCAGCCTCAGCCCCATTTTGTAGTTGGAGGAACAAAGGATCAGGGAGTCCAAGGAACTTCTCAAGGTCACGGAGCTAGTGAGTGGCAGAGCTGAGACTGGAGCTCAGATTTATCTGCTTCCAAAGCCCCAGTCAGTCCTCTCTGCCTCTTAGCCTGCCCCAGAGAGGGACAGCTGGGTAGCTGTGGTGGCCAGAGTGTGCTAGAAGGATGAGGGAACAGGGCGGTGGGAGTGAGGAGAACTTACCCCCTTTTTCCTCTGGAGCAGATGTTTGTTCATGTAAGGCTGACATGAGTGCTGAGTGTCAGCTCTGTACCAAGGACATGGTGATGGATGCATAAGAACAAGATCCCAGGCTTGGGAAGCTCTGCCTTGTAGCATTTCTCAAAGAATATTCTGGGGAGTACTTGTTCCAAGAGATGCTAATAAATGTTCTGTGAAGAAAGATGGCACTTTTGAAAGTTTGGCAACACAGGGTTAAAAAAAAGTAACAGACTTTACTGCAATACTCCTCAGAGCCTCCAGAGCTGTACACATTTAGAATCCATCCGTCAGAGAGGAGGCAGGCAGCACTTCCCAAACTTAAGAAGAGCAGAAACTTTGATGCTGTCAGACCTGGGTTTCTGATCCCGTATTCAGCCTCTCTTGGAGCCTCAGTTTCTCCATCTGTAAGATGGCAATACTTATGCCTGCCTGAGAGGTGCGAAGATTAAGCGAGCTAAGGCATGTGAAGCTCCCGGCATGAGGACCTTGTGTGTTAGGCTTGGCCAGTGTTAGCTGCGGCTGTTGTGGCTACTGAAGTTCTGCTCTTCAGCCCCACAGCCGCCTTCAGGACAGCCTCACCCTCTTTACCAGGGCCTCCTACAGGTTATCAGCTTGTCACTGTGCCAGACCCAGGTCTGAGTCCAGGAGCTCAGGTAGGTCTATTCCAAGCGTAACAAGAGAGGTCCCCTCATTTTTGCACCCCCAATTCTGTTCATGTCCTCTGAGGTCAAGGGCCCTTTTTGAGTGGCTTTTGTCATACTGTTAGCTCGTGGGGAGCTTGTAGTCACTTGTAAGCCCCATGAACACTGCCTACCCCAGCTTGCTCTCTAGGCCTGCAGCAGAAAATGGCTTGTCTTTCCTGGGTATCATTTATCTAGTTGAGATAACCACCCTGACCTCAGGCCGTAAACAGACTCATTGTTTGATTTAGTCAACAATTAATGATTCCACCTTCCTCCAGTACCTCCCAGCATGTTTCACCTCCGTACTTCTTGGGGGACAGTGAAAAGTGTTATTGACACTGAGTGGGGGGACTTTGTGGTGGCAGGAAGCTGTCCCAGCCCTAACTTAGGACATAAGGTGGGCTAGTCTCTGGGACAGGTCTAATACTTATGCCTGCCTGAGAGGTGCGAAGATTAAGCGAGCTAAGGCATGTGAAGCTCCCGGCATGAGGACCTTGTGTGTTAGGCTTGGCCAGTGTTAGCTGCGGCTGTTGTGGCTACTGAAGGTCTGCTCTTCAGCCCCACAGCCGCCTTCAGGACAGCCTCACCCTCTTTACCAGGGCCTCCTACAGGTTATCAGCTTGTCACTGTGCCAGACCCAGGTCTGAGTCCAGGAGCTCAGGTAGGTCTATTCCAAGCGTAACAAGAGAGGTCCCCTCATTTTTGCACCCCCAATTCTGTTCATGTCCTCTGAGGTCAAGGGCCCTTTTTGAGTGGCTTTTGTCATACTGTTAGCTCATGGGGAGCTTGTAGTCACTTGTAAGCCCCATGAACACTGCCTACCCCAGCTCGCTCTCTAGGCCTGCAGCAGAAAAGGGCTTGTCTTTCCTGGGTATCATTTATCTAGTTGAGATAACCACCCTGACCTCAGGCCGTAAACAGACTCACTGTTTGATTTAGTCAACAATTAATGATTCCACCTTCCTCCAGTACCTCCCAGCATGTTTCACCTCCGTACTTCTTGGGGGACAGTGAAAAGTGTTATTGACACTGAGTGGGGGGACTTTGTGGTGGCAGGAAGCTGTCCCAGCCCTAACTTAGGACATAAGGTGGGCTAGTCTCTGGGACAGGTCTAAGCAGACCCTTGGGGCTTCTCATCCTTTGGAGCCTCTGTTGGGGGCTGCTGCCAAGCTCACTTGCATGTTGTCTAGGAAAACTTTTTTCTTTTAATTTGATTTTCTCCAGGGGACTCTTTGCATTTTTACTTTTTTTTTTTTTTTTAATGAGATAATGCATTGGAAAAACTTAACAAGCTCTCGAGCTTCATTCATTCATTCAGCAGCTGTTTCTTGAGTCCATAATGTGCTAGGAACCTGGATGGATCAGAGGGAGGCCATGGAGCTTATGGTCTGGAAGGGGAGAGAGATATTAATGAAACTGATAAACGTAAAAGTGTGATGGAGGGGGTCCTAGAGAAGACAAGTTCATGGCGGTTTGGGAGTGTCGGATAGAATAAAAGCTCTCAGAAGATGTGATGGAGGGGCGAGAGCTGGAGAAGGGTAAGAGATAACTTGAGAAGGTGTTCTAGGCTGAGGGCACAGCATCTGGAAAGGCCCTGTGTAGGAAGGATTGTGGGATTCTGAGAGAAAGCCAGGGTAGTTAGAGTCAGGGAGTGAGGAGGTTGGAGAAGAGTGAGGCCATAGAGGTCGACAGGGACCAGAACACACAAGCCTGTGTACCAGGCTTAGGACGTTTGTCTTTACCTGTGGACAGTGAAGACCCACTGGTTTTAAGCAAAGACATGATGTGATTGAGTTTTCATTCAGAGACAAATGGCTGGGCTGCAGGTGGGCTAGAGGGCAAAATTTCGGAGGCAGAATTGGTTGATGTGGGGGAGGAAGGCAGTGCAGAGGGGCCCCCAGGTCCCAGCATGTGCCTGGAGATGAGGGAGGCACGTTATTACATCACTGACTTCACCATTCCTGACCTTGAGCTCTGAAAGTATGATTCATCCCCTTATCAGGGACTTTTGTGCCCTCTTAATGATACATTTTTTTCTCCATTCCTATCTGAATATGTTTCTCTTGATGGAATTGCTAGAAGCCAACTCAAAACGGATGTGTCCTGACATCTCTGCCTGCTGGGAACTTGACCCCTGTCTCCACTCATGGGCTGGCTTCTTCCTTGTCCTGAGGGAGCTTTAAAAGAACAGACAGCTTTACCTGCCATTTCCCTGCACCTTGGCACACTGTCCATCTTTGGGGATGGCCTCTGTCTTGGGGCTGAGTGGGGTTAGCTCTGGGGGCCTCTGAGAGGTGTGCATACCTGCCCTCTTGGCCCTATGGCTGTCAGCCCCAGGGAAGATGGGCCTTGCCTGCCTCCATCCCTCCCGCAGGCTGTGCCCAGTTCCTGCCTCATGAGAGGGCTCACCCCTGGGATGCTGGTCCCAGCCTCCCCAGGGCAAGAGTGGGCGGCAGGGCCATCCCAGCCCAGGACAGAGGAGGGCCCTGAGATGGGCCAGCAAGCCAGCATTTGGAGGTACAAGCTGGGGAATAGGATCCCAGATAGATGCTCAGGACCCCAGAGCCTGGAAGGCCCTCTCGTCCCCTCCAGTTTCTGCCGATGCTGGGCTGGGGAAGTGTGTGTTCAGGTGTGAGTGCTTTCATGTATGGGATGCCTGTACTGTGTGAGCTCCCCTGTGTGTGAACGTGGGTGTGCATCCCTCCAGGTGGGTTGGAGGTCAGCAGAGGCTGCGTGTGTCATATATCTGAGGTGACAGCCTGACCCTTATTTCTTGGGTAGGTGGCTGGCCTGTTTCATGACCCCAGCATCGGGAACCCCATCCACATCACCATCGTGCGCCTGATCCTGCTGGAAGATGAGGAGGTGAGAAGTCACGGGACCTCACACTGCCCCCGGGATGGGCATCAGCTGCCAGAGCCCTCCTGTCACTCACCCGAGCTGCCTTGTGTGGAGCGGCACAGCCAGGGCCTCCTTGGCCCACGCAGTGTCATTTGTCACCCCTGGCTGACCCTCTCTTAGGTACCCTCTGGCAGGTGCCTGTAGGAGAGGTGATCAGACTAGAGACTGGCCTGGGGCCCACAGGTCTGCCCGCTGCCACCTCTGGGTCTCTGTCTCCCGCCTTCCTGTGGAGGAGAATTTGGCCTGACCCTTCAGAGCTCTGGCGGAGGGCTTCAGTGGCTGTGCTGTCTGCCTGCAGGAGGACCTGAAGATCACTCATCACGCAGACAACACCCTGAGGAGCTTCTGCAAGTGGCAGAAAAGCATCAACATGAAGGGGGATGCCCACCCGCTGCACCACGACACTGCCATTCTGCTCACCAGGTCCTGGCAGCTGTGGGGAGGGGGCCCGGGGTGCAGCTGGGAGAGCCTGCGTGGGAGCGAGGTGCCACCTGACCCTCGAGGAGAAGCCCCAGGAACGGGGCAGACATGGCCCTCCTCTCAGGAGCCTCATCTGGAGGAGGGTTTCCACACCTTTGATCCAAGACGGGGTTTCAACAGCGCTTGGGGAGAGCTTTTTATTGTGAATATTCATTGTGAGCTATTCGTTGTTAATTCTCGTGCAGTTGTCAGAAATAATATAGGGAGGTACCTATTACACTTCATCCAGTTTCCCACAGTGGTAACATCTGGTGTGAAAGTGTTAGTCGCTCAGTTGTGTCCGACTCTTGCAACTCCATGGACTATAGCCTGCCAGGCTCCTCTGTCCGTGGAATTCTCCAGGCAAGAATACTGGAATGGATAACCATTCTCTTCTCCAGGGGACCTTCCTGACTCAGGGGTTGAACCTGGCTCTTCCCTGGTGGCTTAGGTGGTGAGGAATCTGCCTGCAGTGTGGGAGACCCAGGTTCGATCCCTCGGTTGGGACGATCCCCTGGAGAAGGAAATGGCAACCCACTCCAGTATTCTTGCCTGGAGAATTCCACGGACAGAGGAGCCTGGCGGGCTACAGTCCATGGGGTCGCAAAGAGTTGGACATGACTGAGTGACTAACACTTTCACTCCTGCATCGCAGGCAGATTCTTTACCATCTGAGCCACCAAGAAAGCCCCCAACATCTGGCACAACTGTAGTTAAATCCCAACCAGAAAATTGACACTGATATGATCCACAGACCATACTCAGGTTTCACTAGTTTTACACACACTTATTTGTGTGTGTATTTAGTCCTCTACAATTTTATCACACGTGTAAGTTCTCTATCTATTGCCCAGTCTAGATATAGAATGGTTCCATTAGAAGGGTCTTTTGTGCTGTTCATTTATAACCAGAAAATCTTACTCCCATACTTCCCCACTCCAACATGACCCCAACTTCTGACAACTCCTAATCAGTTCAGAGGCAGTATTTTTGAACTTGAGGTGGAGTTCCCTTTGCTGAGCTCCAGCAGCTTCTCACTGGGGTAGTAACCCAAATTGTCTGTGCATGGGTCTGCTCCCTAGGCCCAGAGAGGTGTCTTGTGTGAATAAGGGTCGCTGCTTCCTGAAGGCTCCTAGGCTGGTCTGAGAGTGATGGGAGAAGCATCCTTCTTGCGTCCACCCTCCCTCAGAGTCAGCAGGGGTCCTTCTCTGGCCCCCTCAGCTTGGGAGGGCCTGGCTCCAGGCCAGGTCAGTCTGAGGGCCCCCTTCTCTCTGCATGTGCAGGAAGGACCTGTGTGCGGCCGTGAACCAGCCCTGCGAGACCCTGGGCCTGTCCCATGTGGCAGGCATGTGCCAGCCACACCGCAGCTGCAGCATCAACGAGGACACGGGCCTGCCCTTGGCCTTCACCGTGGCCCACGAGCTCGGGCACAGGTACCCTGCCACCCCCACTGCCACACTAAGAATCTGGCCTCACCTCCCAACCTGGAGGCACCAGCCAGCCAGGCTGATGGCCCATGCAATCCCAGGGAAGGGAGCCCTGCCTTGAGGAATGAGCCCAGCCTAGCCATATTCTGTCCTGCCCTGAAGCCACCCCGCAACCAGGCTGCTTTCCTGTTAGACAGGAGAGGACTAAGTCTTAACTGAAGTGGGGTTGAGATGGGCCAGAGAGTCACCACAGGTCTTTGTCCCTTCCTGTTGGCCTCAGTGCTTGCATTTTTGACTCTTGGTCCCTGCCACGCACCCCATTCCTAATTACTCTGTGACCCTAGGCAAGTTCCCTGCCCTCTCTGCCTCCGTGTGCTCCCCATTGGCTGAGGGGGCTGGATTCAGGGATGTGAAAGGCTCCCTCTATTGGACACCTCCCTGTAAGGCTGTCCCGCCTAAGCGTGGTCCCTGCCCTCAGCCCCTGTGTCTGGACTGTTTAGCTGTGAGCATGGCAGCATCTTAGATGGTCTGGGAGCCCGTGAGGGCAGGCTCACAGAGAACACTATTGGTCAGAGGGGTTGGCTCATCATGAGGACTGAGTGAGATAGTGTTTCTGAAAAGAGCTTAGTATGCTGCCTGGCACATAGTAAGTGCTCAGCAAACATAATTGTTTTCGTGTCTTTCCAAGGATGGTCTCCGGAGACCTTTCTTGTGGCGTGGCAGCTCAGACTCCCTGACGTCACTGCACAGCCTTGAGATAGGACCTGGGGTGGGGAGGAGTCCGTCAGACCAGTGAGGCCAGTGAGGCCGTGGGGGCCACTGGGTGCCCCCTGGCCGGCCATTGTTGGCCAGCTCAGCGCAGGCGCTGGGCTGCTCTCTGGTCCCTGGTGTTCAGTTCAGGATCAGCTGCTGGAGGGCCCCGGGGATACCAACTGTCACACCCACACTTTACCTTAAGGAAACGGAGGCTCAGAGGTGGGGGGTGACTCTCCCTCCCCGGCCACACGGTGGTTTGGTGGCAGAGCCAGGACCCAGCACCTCGCTGACCCCTGAGGGAGGGAGTGGGCTGGCGGGCTTCCCGCCGGCTCACCCGCCCCTGGGGCCTGTGCTCTCACACAGTTTTGGCATTCAGCATGACGGAAGCGGCAATGACTGTGAGCCCGTTGGGAAACGGCCTTTCATCATGTCTCCACAGCTCCTGTACGACGCCGCGCCGCTCACCTGGTCCCGCTGCAGCCGCGAGTACATCACCAGGTTCCTCGAGTAAGTCCCTCCCAGTCCTGGCCTCATCCGAGCCCCTCGGGCCGAGGTCTGCCAGGGCAGCACCTTGGAGGATGCGCGGGAGTTCACAGAAGTGTAGCAGGGAGAAGAGTGGGGTGTTCCTGGTAGAGGAGGCATTGGTAAAGGTGTGAGGACGTGAGGAGTGCAGGTTAGTTTTGAGAGCACTGCAGGACATTGAGTGAGGCTACAGGAGCCAAAGAAGGACAGTAAAGGAAGGTGGAGGAGGTGCAGAGCTGGCCATCTGGCCAGCAGGGACCAGTGAAAAGCGGGAAAGAACGTGCCCTTGAAGGCGCTGAAATACATGGCTTTACCTTTCTATTGTGTTCTCTTAATTTGCTATGGTATTTTAAATTTAATGTTTTAAGTAAAGACAAATTAAAACATTTAAATGATTAGTGCAAGGTTTTTTTATTGAGATATAGTTGATGTGCCATATTATGTTAAGTTTCAAATGTACAACAGTGATTCACAGTTTTTAAAGGTTATATTCCATTTATAGTGATAAAACATTGGCTGTATTTCCTATGCTGTACAATATATCCTGGAGGGCATGGCAGTCCACTCCAGTATTCTTGCCTGGAGAATCCCATAGACTGAGGAGCCTGATGGGCTACAGTCCAAAGGATCACAAAGAGTTGGACACAACTGAAAGCACCTTAGCATGCATGCACATGCACAATATATCCTTGTAATTTTATGCATAGTAGCTTGTACTTCTTAATCCCCTGTCCCTGACTTGTCCCCCAATTCTGAGGTGTGAGTTGATGTCTTGTTTTGATTTTAATTTCTCTGATGATTGATGATGTTAAACATCTTTTCATGTGTCTTCTTTGGAAAAATATTCAGGTCTTCTGCACATATTTTTAATCTGGTTGTTTTTTTGATACTGAGTTGTATAAGCTGTTAATATATTTTCGATATTAACTCCTTGTCAGTCATGTCTTACAAATATTTTCTTCCATCCAAAGTTTGTCCTTTCATTTTGTTGATAGTTTCTTTCACTGTGTGAAAGCTTTTAAGTTTAATTAGGTTTCGTTTGTTTTTTATTTTTATTTACTTTGCTTTAGGAGACAGATCCAAAAAAAAATATTGCTACAATTTATGTCAAAGGGTGTTCTGCTTATGTTTTCTTCTGGGAGTTTTATGGTTTCCGGTACTACATTTAGGTCCTTAATCCATTTTGAGTTTATTTTTTGTACATGGTTTGAGACAGATGTTCTGATTTCATTCTTTTACATGTAGCTGTCCAGTTTTTCCAGTACCTCTTAATGAAGTGACTGTCTTTTCCATTGTATATTCTTGATTCCTTTATTGAAGATTGATTGACCATAAGTGTGTGGGTTTATTTCTGGGCTCTCTGTTCTGTTGATCTGTATGTCTGTTTTTGTGCCAGTATAATACTTTTTTTAAAAAAATTTTATTAAAGTATAATTGATTTATGTGCTTAATTTCTGATGTATAGCACAGTGATTCAGTTATACACATATATATATTCTTTTTCATATTCTCTTCCATTATGGTTTATCATAGGGTATTGAATATAGTTCCTTGGCCTGTGCAGTGGGACCTTGTTGTTTATCCATCCCATATATATGGTAGTTTGTACCTGCCTATCTCAAACTCTCAGTCTTTCCTCCCTGATGTCTGTTATCTATGTCTGTGAGTCTGTTTCTGTAGATATGTTCATTTGTGTTGTATTTTATTTTATTTATTTTTGTGTGTGTGTGTGTGTGTGTTGTATTTTGGATTCCACATACAAGTGATATCATATGGTATTTATCTTTCTCTTTCTGAATTACTTTGCTTAGTGTAATAATCTGTAAGTATATCTATGTTGCTGCAAATGGCATTATTTCATTCATTTGTTTAATTTTGCTTTTGTTTCTGTTGCTTTGGAGACTGACATAAGAAGACACTGGTATGGTTTTGCCTGTGTTCTCTTCTAGGAGTTTAACGGTGGCGTCTCTTATATTTCAGCCTGTAAGCTGTACTGAGTTTATTTGTGTATGGTGAGAGGGTGTGTTCTAACCTCATTGATTTGTGTGTGGCTGTCCACTTTTCCCATCAGCACTTGCTGAAGAGACTGTCTTTCCTCCATTGTGCATTCTTGCCTCCTTTGTCAAGGATTAATTGGCCATGAGTGTGTGGCTTTATTTCTGGGCTCTCTATTCTGTTCTGTTGATCCATATGCTATTGTGTCAATGCCATGCTGTTTTGATTACTGTAGTTTTGTAGTATAATTCAAAGCCTGGGAAGGTTATACCTCCAGCTTTGTTGTTTTTACTCAGAATTGCTTTGGTAATTGAGTCTTTCATGGTTTCATATAAATTTTAGGATTTTTTTGTTCTAGTTCTGTGAGGAATGTCATGAATAATTTGATAAGTATCCTGTTACATCTATAACTTGCTTTGGGTTGTAGAGTAGCCATTTTAATGGTATTCTTCCAATCCAAGAGCTTGGGCTATCTTTCCATTTCTTTGAATCATCTTCAATTTCCTTTACTAATGTTTGTTAGTTTTCAGCATTAAAGTCTTTCACATTTTTGGTGAGGTTTATTCCTAAGTATTGATTTTTTAAAATATGATTTTAAAATAAATTTTTGTTTATATTCTTTTTCTGATATTTCATTGTCAGTGTAAAGAAGTACAAACAATTTCCATGTGTTTCTTTTGTATCCTGCTACCTTGCCAAATTTGTTTATCAGTTCTCATAGTTTTTGTGTGGATTTTCTGTATATACTATCATGTCATCTGCAGATAATAACAATTTTACCCCTTCCTTCTGAATTTGAATACCTTTTATTTCTTTTTCTTATCTGATTTCTACAGCTGGATTTCCAGTACTATAATGAATGGAAGTGATAAGAGTGGATATACTTGTCTTGTTTCAGATTTTCATGGGAAGACTTTCAGCTTTTCACTGTTGAGTATTATATTGGCTGTGGGTTTGTCATAAATATTAATAGCTTGCATTATGTTGAGATATGTTCCCTCTATACCCACTTTTGTAAGGACTTGTATCATGAGTGGATGTTGAATTTTATAAAATGCTTTTTTTGTGTCTATTATGGTGATTATGTGGTTTTTGCCCTCTGTTGATGTGTGTGTCACATTGATTGATTTGCATGTGCTGAACTATCCTTGTGACCCTGGGATGAATCCAACTTGACCATGGTGCATGATGTTTTTTATGTGTTGTTGATTTTGGTTTGCTAATATTTTCTTGAGAATTTTTGCATCTAATATTCATAAAAAATATTGATCTGTAATTTTCTCTTTTGATATTGTCTTTGGTTTTGGTATTGGGTTGATGGTGGCTTCATAGAATGTCTTTGGGAGTTTTCCTTCTTCTTCAGTCTTTGGAAGAGTTTGAGAAGGACTGGTGTACATTTTTCTTTGTATGTTTGGTAGAATTCACCTGTGAAGCCATCTGGTCCTGGGCTTTTTGTAGGGACTTGTTGTTGTTGTTGTTTTTATAGATTACAAGTGCTGTTTCACTTCTAGTGATCAGTCCATTCTGTTTCTTTTTGATTCATCTTTGGTGGGCTGTATTCTTCTAGAAAGTTGTCCGTTTCTTCTAGGTTGTAGACTTTGTTGGCATATAATTGCTCATACTTCTACAATATTGATTGTGATTTCTCCTCTCTCATTTCTTATTTTGTTTATGTCTTCTGTCTTCTTGGTGAGCATGGCCAGAGGTTTGTTAATTTTGTTTACCCTTTCAAAGAACCAGCTCTTGGTTTCATTGATTTTTTTCTTAAAAAAATTTTTTATTTTCTCTCTGACCTTTATTAGCTCCTTCCTTCTGCTGGCTTTAGGTTTTGTTTGTTCTTTTTCTAATTCTTTTAGGTGGTGAGTTAGGTTGTTTATTTGAGATTTGTCTTGTTTCTTCAAAACGGCCTTTATTACTATGAACTTCCCTCTAAGAATTGTTTTTTGCTGCACCTCATAGATTTATTATGGTTGTGTTTTCATTGTCATTTGCCTCAAGGTTTTAAATTTCCTTTTGATTTCATTGTTGACTTACTGGTTTTTAGTAACATGTTGTTTATTCTCCATGTAATTGGTTTTTTCTTATTTCTTTTTCTGTGGTTGATTTCTGTGTTAATGTGGGCAGAAAAGATGCTTGAAATGATTTCTATACTTTTAAATTAGTTGAGGTTTATTTTGTGCCCTAGCGTGTGGTCAGTCCTAGAGAATGTTCCCTATGCACTTGAAAAGAATGTATATTTTCCATTTTTTGGATCTAATGTCTTGAAAATATCAAGTCTAACTGTTATGTTTTATCATTTAGTATCTCTTGCCTTATTGATATTTCTGTCTCAAAGATCTGTCCACTGATGTGACCATTGTTAAAGTCTTTTACTATTCTCTCATTCCCATCAGTTTTTCTTTCTATGTCTGTTACTGTTTGTTTCATGTATTTGGGTGCTCCTATATTGGGTATGTGTATGTTGAAAAGTGTAATATCATCTCCTTGTATTGATCCTTTTATCATTATGTAGTATCTTTCTTTATAACCTTTGTTTTTGTTTATATTTATTTTTAATTGATATATAGTTGATTTACAATGTGTTAGCTGCAAGTGTACAGCAAAGTGATTCAGTTTTATATATATACACACACACATATATATATATGAATATATATGTTCCTTTTCAGATTTTTTCCTATATAATATTATCAAATATTGAATATAGGTTCTTGTGCTATACAGTAGGTCCTTGTTGTTTATCTATTTTATATATAGTAGTACGTGTATGTTACTCCAAAATTCCTAATTTATCCTTCCCTGCCAAACCTTTTCTTTTGGTAACTATACATTTGTTTTCTATGTCTGTGAGTCTGTTTCTGTTTTATAAATAAATTCATTTGTATCACTTTTTTTTTATTCCACATATAATATTGTATGATATTTGTCTTTCTCTGACTTACTTCACTTAGTATGATAATCTCTAGCTCATTCATGTTGCTGCAAATGGC